CTAATTAATTTCGCGCTTCAAATTTGTGACATTGTTGGTTGCCATCTTGACAACGGCCACGTAGCATGAACAATCGTATAATTTCAAATATTTTGTTTACTAATTTCAATGAACCTTTGCGTTTTTATTTCGTTACTTTTATTTTATTTTAATATATTAAAAAATACAACTAATTAACTATTAATAGAATTTATTTAAAATATATATTGCACTGATGATGACTTTACGTCGAAATAGATCTATATGCATAACTTTAATAATAATATAAAAAATAAACGATTATAAAAATGGGATCTTGCTTGATTAATTTTAACAATTAAAATCATAAACAATTATAAAATGAATTTCAACATTTTGAATAGACTTAATTGTAAAGAACTAGTTCAAAATATTAGAAAATCAACCATAAAACTTGTTAATGCTGAATCGTCGGTGGATTTTTTGAACAACTGTATAGAACTTGGTCTTCTTCCTAATATATATATATATATATATATATCCAGGTGAATGGAAAGTTGGAGGATTTGCTCAGGGTCATGTTGGAAATGTCCGCTTTTAAAATATTTACTTCGTGTGTAATTTTTATTTATTTTTATTTGGAATGTTTTTCAATGGCTTCATATATTAAAAAAATTGTCTTTTGCAAGCATATTAACTAATATTTAAATACTATTCAATCACCATCATTTCTGTTTAGGTGTATCAAACGCAAAGAAAATATATTTTCATATGGTTGAAGGTTTACATTAAACGAAGTTTTAAGAAACTTATAATACGGCAAAACGATTTTTTTCGACAGCTGTTAAAAAATGAACACGATATATTACAATGATGAAATGATTGAAAAACGTAACAACTCACTAAATGTCTTCTTAGCTTCAACGTCCTACGTTTATAAGTCGGTTGTTAAAAGAATCATTATGAGTAAAGACATTAAAAAAATTGTCTTTTGCAAGCATATTAACTAATATTTAAATACTATTCAAGCACCATCATTTCTGTTTAGGTGTATTTTTTTGCGAACATCATTGTTGGATACGTAGTTAAATAAGTTACAAGTGGTGTTGTTATCAACAGGAAAAACACGATGGAAACATTTTGTTGAACATTGACGTAATTTGATAAAAGAAAGTACATTAGAGCAAAAAACCCTGTGTCACTTGTCGAATACCACTACATTTCAACTAATACAAAGTGTTAAAAATCGGGTTTTATGGAGGTCGATGGTCGCCAATCCCCTGAAAGGATAAGGCACGAGAAGAAAAAGAAGAATCTATGTAATTATTAATTAATTGTTAATAATTATTAATGAGGTAGTATCAAAATTACTATCATTATTTCTATTAATGTACTATCATTATTATTATTATTGACATTTGTATCACGAAATTTAGTACTACTTACGTTACTATTTTTATTTTTTCATTCATATTGTTCACATCAGTGTATTCATTATTATTCTTTATTCATAGTAGTAGTATTTAGCAGTGATAGTTGTTGTAGTGGTAGTAGTAGTAGTAATAGTAGTAGTTGTTGTAGTAGTGGTAGCGGCAGCAGCTATGACAGTAGTTACAGTAGTCGTAGTGTTAATATTCATGTCGCAATTTTTTTTATTCATATGTAAATGCTGTTGTAAAAAAACCCATCGAATGAAGTGTTTTATAATTTTAATGAAATCAAATTTTTTCGCATGTGATTGCTGGCCAGTCTAATGGGTGAAATTAGCGCAACCAATATCAACTTTTTAGCGCTTTTCCAATACAACTTAATGAAGAAATCTGTCGGTCACAAATTAGTCTCATGAATAAGAGTAATAACAAATTAGTGAATATAAATTTGAAACAAGCTCGTTAATTACCATAACTAATTACTACATTTCCAGAAAATAACTTTCATAAAAGTAATGGTATTTCAGATTATGATAATTAACAATAACATACAGCGATATTGTTCCTCGAAACCACCTCCTTCCTCGCCAACTTCACCTGACCTAACAGTTCCAATATTTCTCTTTCTCCCACTTTGTGAAGTGCGCTGAATAATCCCTCCATTCCTTTTTTTTCAGCTCAACGAATGCATCGACCAGTTGCGTACCTAATTTTTCTCTCAAAAATTCACTAGATTCCAACTTTTGTAGAGCTTCTAATAGACTTTCTGGAACTGATTTGGGATTAGTTTTAGGATTAAAGTTGGGATTTGAAGTAGAGCTGGATTCAGCAATGGTGGTTGCTGATGTTGATGTATTGCACAAATCTGCTTGAATACTGGAGGATAGTCTCGAACTGGAAGTTAAGTGTTGTGTGTGTGACAAACAATTATCTACGTTAGAAGCCGGTGGTGGTTCTGAAAAGAATAAATTATTTTTTACTATTTTTTTTTCAATATGCAACCTAATTTTTAAAAAAGAGTGTACATTTGGGAACTAGTGATGAATGACTGTTATTTCTCAAAATTCTTTTTCGTTTAGAAAATTAAAATTATTAAAAATATGAATTTCCTTGAATGAAGATTAAATAAATTACCTCAAGAAAAATAAAATGAAAATAACACAACCAAGTTTATTTAATTAAACTTTTAAATATAAAAACCATTATAAAAATCAAAAATTAATTAATTAATTGAAATTAGTAGTTAATAAATTGAAATAAAATAAGTAAAAATGTTATTAACTCAAATTATTTTTGAGACCATCTAATCCAGCTGCTAGCAAGGTAGCCAGTATAAGGTGAGGATTCGTGGCTCCATCAGTCAGTCTGTACTCAACTCTGCATTGTTACGCCATCAATCAGCAAGTATTCAACACACCAAATGGGCTCACGCACTACAGCCCTGCGCGGTTGACCTTTTTGGAAGAGGCAACCGTTCCAGACGCTGCGACTGATACTGCAACCGCAGCACAATGACTTTTGATGAATATCATCTTATCTATTGTTAAAACCGCTGCAATGGTCAAACTTCTCAGAAGAAATTTCAACAATTTTTACGCCTACGACTGATTTAAATTTCGAAATAGTAGATTTGTTGCAAAAGCGTCTATATAATTTGATGAAAAAGAACTATGATACATAAATTTTTTAAAGACAAATTTATAACTTTATAATTTTTTTTGATATGCGGTAACAGCGATTTTTGTATTAAAAACTGCGCAGCAATGAACCGCATCATGAACAGCGAAAAACCTCGATACACACACAGATATTTGTACATAAATATTTTCTTTGTGGTGTCTGGGTGAAGAATTTTGTTTCGTTATTGAGCGTAATTAGTCGGTTGATTCAATAATTAAAACATTTTAAAAATTATATATTAATTAATATGTATGGTTTAAAAAATGTTTAATTGGTCATTGAATAACAATTTTTTAACTACACAAACAAGTATTCACCTTATTAATTAACATTTCAAGTGAAGAATCAATAGAACAACGAAATTTCAATCAACCACCTTTCACTGTTCGGCACTCTCAACAGGACAGTCTTGTCATTGCCACCCCAGGTTATCATGTTCGAACAGAATTTTTCAAGCTTCAACCTTGCAAGAAATTAAAAGGCCTCATTAATTTTTAATCGTAGTGCGTAAAGGTAAACATACAACCAAAATGTTCATCGCATGTAGGTACTTAAAATCAGTGCTTTTTTGTAAAAAAAAATAGGTGCCGGTGCTCATTGTTGATTGATCTAAAAACTTTAGCCGGGGGAGCTATGATGACCTTCTTTTTGCTTATCACGCCAAAAACGGCACAATTATTAATTAAAAGAATCAAATTTTCCCCACTTTTTAAAAGGTACCGGCACTCCGTACCGGTGCGTACCGGCACAGAAAAAAGCACTGCATATAATGATATAAAATAAAATATAAAACATACATGGAAGCAAGCCCAGTTATGTTCAAACACATAAACATTCACCAACAAACAGAGAAGACATAAACCTGTTTCTGAAAAAAAACATAAGCATTTAAAATTGACAGTGGAAAATCTAGAATTCTTTCACTTGCTTGTTTCATTTATTTTTTAAGTGGACAATATTTTTAGTTTTAAACATTACCCATTATTGTATCAACAAATTTATCACAATGTAGCTGATTTGATATTAGAAATTAAAAATTTATTTCGTTATTATTAGAGAAGCCACAAGATGCTCAATTATTATTTTTCTTCAAAAAATGAAGCCTTCTAGTCAAAAACTGCCAACTTAAACTCAGTTCTGACTTTTTTTTGTCATTAATTTCTTCATGCAACACCCTAAGCGTTTACATAAAACCATTAAATGTAATATCTGAAAATACACCAAACATTGTTAAACAAAATTTCTCTAAATTTTTGTCTTAATCAAAAAGGCAAGAGTTATGAATTTAATTTAATATTATGCTTTTAAATTTATTTCAGCAATAATATGCTTCAAATTTTTATTTCAGCACATTGCTATATCAATATTGTGTCAGCTAGTTTTTAAAAAATCGAACTTATTTTGTTTACATTTAATTCTCAAACTCAAAGAAGATTAATACCGTTCAAAACAATCTTAAGCAAGTAGCTTTCAGATTCAGATGTTTTTTGTTTTTCATTTTACTATGTTGAAATAAATATTTATGCCTTAAAGTAGTGTTATTAACAGAGTGTCGGGGATTTTTCATCCAACTTCGACACTCTGGTTAAAAACGACGCGACTTGGCAAGATTGAAGCCAAAGCCAAGCAGCTAAAACTCCCTGCAAAATTAACTTGAAGTTTGTTCCAAACTGAACTATTCTGAGCCGAGCCGAACAACGCTGCACATATACGCACATACAAACACACAGGCTCACAAATGTAAAAAAAAACACGCACTTATTCAAACACGCATGCATACAATCGACAACACAAAAAATAATACATACACGGGCACAAGTACGAACCTCTTGTAGCTGTTAACTGTTGGGCATACTATGGCGCAGGATTCTTCAACATGGGAAAGCAAACCAGCGATGAAATTGTATGCTAACTTATTATAATATAATATTTGGATTATATGCCAACTTGTTATGACATTTTGGAATGCAAACTTACTATGATGATATTAAAAATGTGGAGGAGGATAATAAGAATGATGATTGGAATGCTGATAGGAATGATGATTGGAATGATGATTGGAATGATGATTGGAATGATGGTTGGAATAATGATTGGAATGATGATGATAACATGGTGATGTGAAAAACAAAAACAGGCAAAGTTAAATGAGAGGGTCAGTGATGACGCAGCACTAAACAGAGTTGAGCCAACAACAGAGATCAAAACCTTTGAAAGTCCAAACAAACGCTCAGTCCTACCACCATCATCGTCATCATCTGAACTCTGAAGTCCGGGAAGCAAATTAATTTCCTCACCACTAGCTTTCCATATTGACATGTTCGTGTGTAAACCATTTGCTGATTATGATGGAAAACATTAACTAAATAATTTCAATTTCTTTATTGCTGACCATTAAATTTAGGAATTTTTTATTAAAATTAAAAGTCGGATATAATTTTTACCACAAGGGTAATTTTGAAACGGCATCGGCATGAAGGTAGCTAGAAATCCATGCTTTCGTGCAACTTCCTAAAATACAGTTAACCAAAAAATTATTTATTTTGACGAACTGAAAAAATTAATATTTGTGTCAAACAAAAAACGGCTATTCACTGAAACAAAATAAAAAACAGCATAAAGAAAGTTTTAATTAAGTTCCGCCTTACAGTTTAGATTCGTTTTAGATGAACAATTTTCAAAAACTAACCTTAATCATGAACTTTAAGAAGCACATTCTGTCAGCCATCAAAAGAACATCAAAAAAGTTGAAGTTGATTTCGTATTGACAAGGAGATGCCTCACTTATTATCTGTTGGTACAACCAATAACTTGTAAAATTTTTGTTTAAATGGAGGCTTTGTTCATTAATATTTTTTATTTGAAATATTGGTGATGTTAACAGATAGACTTTCTTCAATTTATTCACAATTCTAGCTCCAACCATCTTATTAAAGAGTCTACCTCTACAGGTTGTAAATTTTCTTAAATATGGAGAAGGCATAAATACATATCAGTATATACCGTTGATGTAATGTTTGTATTGAAATTTTGTTAGCTAGAGGTTTTGTATGCAAGACAATCGGGTTGAATAATCTGTAAAAATCGTTCATTTATTTATAATTATAATATTTTCTGTTTGAAGTTTATTACTTAAAAAAATAAAAAGTTTAGCATTCAATGTATAAAGTTGTACTTTTTGAAAAATTAAACATTCGATCATTTTCATGACTAGAAAAAACGTGCCAAAATTGGTTCGCATAGTATGTAGGTACAAAAAGGCCAATACATAGATTTAAAGTTAAGTTATGAATGACCAAAATTTGAACTTTTGTTACATTTTTATGAAAGATCTGTTTGAAAACGCAAAAATTTATAAAAAATTATTTGCTTGAAAAAAACAAAAATTCAAAAAATATAACAGGAAGTCTTCTATACTTATTTTAAAATAAAAAATTGCAGGATTGCAAATCAGCTAATTTATCGAAAGATCAAACCAACCATTTTGGTTTAATCAATTATCAAAAACAGATTTTTATGAAATTATAAAATAATACAATTATAAAAACAGGCTATATATATTTTAAATTCAAAATAATGCATAAACAAAGTTTCAAGTATAAACAAAGTTTAAAAACCATGTAAGGAGCCCAGCCGAGAGTATGCATGGCGTCATGAACCTCAGTGAGGAACGGTTCAAAACTCATAATAGCTCTGGTTTGGTGATGGTTACATTCGAATCTCGATTCTAAAGGATCGGCTAATGCTGAGCCATCCTCATTTAACAAGGTAAACTCCGCTATTTGGAAGTTAAAGTTTCGAGAAACCAGTTGCAATTTACTGACCCAATCAATAACCAACTGCTTCCACAACCAAACAATAAACTAACTATTTTAGAGAAAACTACTTTTTATCTAATATTTTGTTTTAAAAAAGTTTATTAAAAAAAGTCAATTAGTTTAACTAACGTTCAAATCCGCACTTCATCAAATATCCCATATCCAAAGCTTCAGTTCTTAATTTCTGCAATATGGTCCTGGGACACTGAGCAAACGGTTTTCCATTGTATGATATATTACTGTTTCAAATTATATTTTTAATAGATGCTTACAAACAGTAAAATATTTATTCATTCAAACACCGTCAAAAAGGCTGGCAAGTCTTGGAAGCTTCAGCCTTCTACAAAAAAGTTTCATCGATATGTTTAAGTTATTGTTATAACCGCTGCAATGGCCAAATTGCGCTATATTATTTGTTATTTTGATAATTCGTTATTATTGTTGTCTTTGCTATATTTTTAATTTTTTGATTTTACAAATCTACCGTAAAGGTTATATAAGGTCCTGCGGAGAGGGAGGTTTAGAGTGCGGTTTGGTAAAATTTATACAATACTGTATAAAGTCAAACATATATACTATATGCATATATCATAAACACCTTAAATTTATTTAAGATGTCTATTGTTATAACCGCTGCAATGGTCAAACTGAGTAATATTATTTGTTACCTTGATTATTCGTTATCTTTGTTATATTTGCTATATTTGTAATCTTTAGATTTTAATTCCTTGTAAAAAAGGAGGTTAAGTAGCGAAGTCTACAGAGTGGTTTGATGCGAAATCGTAAATGTTATTTATGTAGTTACCTGGATTAGTTTTGTGTTTCTATTACTGTTGTCATTCAAATAAACGTTCAACAAAAATTGCGTTTGAAGCATTCATCTATCGAAAATTTTGAACCTACGGAATAACGATAACTTGACGATTATTGGAGGCTACAAAAAACACTTTTGATGGAAATAGAGATCAATGAAGTTATAATATTGGCGTTGGTAGTAGCAAGCGTTCAAGTGATACAACCATGATACAACATTATTTTTAAACAGCTTCACAGGCTACTGATTTAGCAAATGAAAAATAATGATAAAATGCTAGATAAACTAAAACAAGAGTAAAGATTGTCTTTATTGAATTTCCCTGCCAATAAATTTTTACCTTTATTTTCAAAAAAATAACCCAACATGAAAATTTTCAAAGGTTTTAAAATTAGCGCATCTAATTTAAGCTAAATCATTGAAATGCGAGATAGATCATAAATTTTTACATTCAATTTTCACTGTAAAGCATTCATAAAAGACAAATCTTGCATCAAATTAAAACATGCATTAACAATGTAGCTTAACAGAGTTTTTAAAACCATTCCTACCAGAGAATCCAGGCAAACGTTTTTTTCCAGGGTAGTATGATGAATGTTGAGACGTCGGGAACCAAATTGAAATTGTATTGTTGAGGGTTGATCATGTAATCATTAGTTGAAGAGAAGCAAACTTGATCGGTCTGTGATAATGTTGATAAAAAAAAGAAGATGGTGATGAAAATAATGAAATTAATGATCACGATCATAAGCGTCGTATTAGGAGGGGCGCTTTTGGTTTTCTTAATAATTTGAAGTAGGGTCAAATCTTAATTTTTCCAACATTTTGATAAAGTCAACAGTTATAAAAAAAATTTCTCCTAAAAATTTCGACAACGGGTAAAAATTTTTGACTCGATATCTGTCTCTCGAATTCAATTCTGTGTCCTACTCTCAGAAAAATTTTCAACTTTTGCAACATAATTTTATTAAATATCACCCCTATATAAAAGAAACATCCAAAAATCAGTCAAAGTTATAGTTTTTCGTAGTATAATGTTTTAAAACATACTGAAGAAAAATTGTTATTTTATTCACCTTATCTGATTATTAGCATTTATTTCCAGAGTACAAAAGACGATTGCATATCGATCTTCACATATTTATCTTATAAACATGATCTTTAAAAAATTTCAAGATAAAAAATATAAATAAAATCAAATTTATAACACTGAAGTCAAAGTCGGAGAAAAGATATTCGACTCTGACTTCTCAAAAAATCTCCGACTTTGACACTTGTACGCATGTATAAAAAAAACCTCGAAAAATGTCTAAAAAAATGTCTACATTCATTTTATTTTTCATCGTCGACACTCACTTTGTAATTTTGAAGGCTGTGCGTAGGCACAAGACAGGTTTTACATTCACCTACCAAGCTTCCGTACGAAAATAAAATGAATTCCACTCCACTGTCGTTAGCCAGCTCGTACAAACTCATGCTTCAACCTTAGTTCAATTTTAAGTAGCAAATTATTCAAATATCTAACTTTAAATCTATTGTGTGAGATAAGTGAAGAAGCTTAATGTTTCGTATTTAAACCTTTCATAAAGCTATTTGTTAAAACAATTAGTTGCTCTTAGATGTTTTTAAACTAAAATAAACAGTTATAAAATTTCAATAACTTTGATTCATAAAATATTAGACCATACTTAAAACAAAAATGTAGAGCTCACTAGAAAAAACCAGTTAAAATCGTCGTGAAAAATAAAATGAATAGTGAATTTAAATAAAAATTTATGACTAACAATATAATTTGTTGATTCTATCTTTTTTTCTCTTTCTCTCTTTTTTCTTTTTTTCATTCTCTCTCTGAAATTATTAGTAACAATAGTAACAAAGTTTATTTACAGAACAGAGTGTATTCAATTTCTTTCTATATCTCTCTTCCCTCCCCCCCCTCTCTCTCTCTCTCTTTATTACTTTATACATCAATTTATCTCACAATCGCACGCTTCTGCATGTAATCAACTAATAAAAGTTGAGTATTTTTTTGTGAATCAAGCAGTAAATCATGTTGTTTTCTATTCCTAGCTGAGAAAAACCATCTTCCACACTTCTATCCTTGCTTTCCACACCATCATCATTTATAACATTGACTTTTTCCCACTGCGACAAACATTGTTTTTCATCTTCAGAGAAGTATTAACCATTTCTGCTCTTAACAAAGCCCCTAAAAATCTACTGAAGCCAATATTTGTAGAACTTTGTATAAACTCTGTTGCAGATGAGTTGTTGCTGATTTGAGATTGTTTTGACTTAGTGGGCAGTGGGCACCTCAAACTCACAGGCTGCTTACAGATTTTAGTTACTTTGCTTTCAAAATACCAAATTTATATAATTAAATAATTAATTTTTTATAATTTTTTTGCAAACTTAACCAACAAATTTGTTATTAATTTATGAAACAACTGAAAAGTAACATTGAGATATATGTCGATGAAAAACAATAACTTATGTGATATTCGTTAACATCCAATCCAGATAACTGCCAAAAAGTTAGCCATTACACGGACTTGGAGTTAAGGACTCATCTGCCAGTCTCTATTCCTTTCTTTATTATCGTGATATTTCAATTCAGTTATTATATTTAAGTTATAAAATATATCTAATTATAGCTGATGTGCCTCGATGCAAAAATATATAGCTAGACATTTTATGGATTTTATGAAAGTTGACGTTTGATTTCTTTCCCCATTTTTTTCTTTCTCTCTTTTTTCTCAGTTTTACGTTATAATCTTTCATTTCAAATCAGTATTTGCAACAAAACTTTCAATATTTTTTATCAATTTTACGTTCTTTCCTTCGCTTGCCTAAACAGCTGGAATAGACAGGGCCTTTTGTCTTGCTGTTGTGTTGAAAACCAAACTGCATGTGTGCATGTGAATGTATGTAATAATTTTGAAGAGAAGAATAGTAAAAATGAAGTTCTATAGAATGATACGTAAACATACACCTCACAATTAGTGATGTTGTTATTATGTGTCGAACTACAAACATCTTAACGCCAAACATTCGGTAGAATTTATAGAATTATATATATATATATATAATATATATATATATAATATATATATATATATATATATCAGTATTAACGCAAAAAGATCTGAAGTTCATCCCAGAGCCTTAACTACTATTTAAAGGAAAACAAGAACAGATATTCAACAACATAGATATTAAATAAGAAACGGTAGTAAAGATGTTAGACTCTTTAGGGAAGATAAAACTCCAGGAATAGACAAACTGCCTTCCAAATATTTATAGGAAGTGGGAAAAGAAGTAAAAGCTACTTTAACTGAAATATTTACTAAATCCATTAAGACGGGTGAAGTACCAAGAGACTGGAGAGACACCATTGTCACGCCACTATTCAAAAAAGGATGCAAGTGTTACCGGCAGCTATAGACCAGTCAGTTTAACATGTATACTATGCAATGTTCTAAAAAATAATGAAAATGAACATGGTTGAACATCAGATAAAGAACAAAATAATCGAAAACAGCCAAAATGGTTCCTGTCTGTCAAATCTTTTAGATTTTTAGAGAAAGTGTATGCAAGCGTAAAAGGTGAAAACTCCGTAGATATAATCTATCCGGATTTTGTGATTGCGTTTGATAAAGCGCCACACAAACGACTTACCAAGAAGCTACATGCATGTGGAATATCTGGGAGTTTCCTTAAATGGATTACCAACTAGCTGAAGAACAGAAGACAGCAAAAGTAGATCAAAGGCAAAAATTCAACGGGTTAACAGGGTTAAAATGATAAACAGTAACAAAAAATGATAAACAGTAACAAAGTAGTAAAAACCTAACCATCAAACACGACCCATCATGAAAAATTACTCTATATACCGCCGGCTTTAAACATTTTCAATTCATTGTTAATTTGTCTACCTTCATATCCTTGTTTTTCATTAATAATTATCACACAGATGTTTTATATATAGTTTAGATTTAAATATAGTTAAAATAGTTTTTATGTAAATTTTTTTTTAATTTAAATAAAATAATTCTGATCATCATCATAGCCACAAATACAATCAGTCTGAATAACTGATGACTCATCGCTTCATTAACAAGCCGACCAAAGAGAATACAATAGATGACAATTCATTCATTCAACATTCAACATGTATCTTTGTTTATTAATTCATAAGATCTTGTACAGTCTCTATGTTATTAAGTTCTTTAAATTCATCATTGGACTCTGAAAGGAAACATTAATGTAAGTGAATCACAAGCAAAAAACATAAAAAAGTGAAGTTTATATAACTAAGAAATAATAAAGCACTTGATAATAATGAAATAATAAAAATAATGAAACTGACTAACTTATCAACTAATTAAGCAACAGGCCAATCAACCAGCCGACCAACCAGTTGATCGATCAATTAACTGGCCAATCAATCAACTCACCTGACCAAACAACCGACCAACAAATCAACCAGATATTCTACCTGATTTATCACACATGGCTCCATTGATGAGACTGCTCTCAGATGATTGACTGGACATCTGGATGATGGGGAATGACATGTTGGCATTCTCAACTGAACTTGCAAGCTGTGAAGACTCGTTGAGGCGACCATCTTCACTGAAGTTGGAATCCTGACTCTGCCTGGTAGCATCATCTTGTTGGATGAAACTTTCCTCTGAACATATTGGTATTGGCGTTTTAGTATTTTAATCATTCATTCACTAGCCACTCAGAATTTCAATAACTTATCAGGTAAATAATTGCTTTGAATGCAAAAATGTTTACTATTAGTTAGTTATAAATATGTTTACTATTAGTTAGTTATAAATATTTTTTTAGATTTTGTTATAAAAATTCTACCATGCAACATCAAAAATTACTTCCACACGAATATTTAAACAATGGTACTGTTACAAACAAACTTCAGTTTCAGACTAGATTCAATTAATATAATTTTATTTAGGACACAAAATTTAATAAACAAAACTCAACACAATTATACTGTAACAAATAATGTCATTTAGCTTTATTATCTTAGCACATTATTTGTGAAAACATTGCAACAAGCCCATCATAACGTGTGGCTTCTTAGGTGTAGGTGATAATAACATGAACACTCTTCAAGGGCAAACACATTACCTTGCTACAAACATCTTACACATGGATATCATTATGTATAGAGACCTAACAGCAAAGAACACATGAAGAATTAGTACCAATTAATAACTGAAATTGAAATGTTAACAGGCCAACCTGGAATACTACTTCCCTGGGACATGTTGCTGTCCTCATTCAGTTGCATCTGACTGCCACTCTCCGGAATGTTCTCCTTCTGAGCAGCTGCTGCAGCCGCCACTGCTGCTGCTGTTTCGTTGCCCGCACTCTTGTTGCTCTTCTCAAGGAAAAATTTTTTTCGAACCAAACTCTGTCAATTAAAGAATAATAATCCACGATAAATCCAAATATCGAATGTTCACTACAATGTGTCAGTCAACTCTATGATAGTCATCTGTGAGAGCATGCATGATGCCCAAACTGAGGATTAGCTAACAAATTATAAAAATAAATTCACAGAGAATATCAATGATATCAAATTTACAACAAAAATAATTAACTGCAAGAAATATTTAGAAAAATATAATTTGATACCTGGCGAGAATCTTGATTGGAAACTGTGAATGTAATAATTAAAATATCGACCATTGGATAAATGCATTCAAATCAAATTCAACATAAATAAATTTGAATAAGGCAAGAGTCTCATCAACCAAACAGCTCACTAAAAAACAAATTAAAAGATTTGAAAAATAAAACAAAAATATAACAATTAATTAAATTAAAACCAGAATGTTTTCCACAAAATTAATTAAAAAAAAATCCTATATGGTTAAATAATATTCATACAGACCAGGGACCCATTTGAATATTTTCATCGTGGTGTCTTCAATGGCAACCCATCGTTTCTCCCTTTATAATTTTCATTATTATTATGATTTATTATTCAAATTAATATTAAAATTATTATTATAAGTCATTTTTCTCATCAATATTATTACTATCATTATTTCAACTCCATACTAAATCATTATTTAATAATATTATTATCATTATTCTTCATAACCAAATATAAAATTCTTTTCCGATGATTAATAGTAGAAATAATTGTTTATTTATTTATTCAAGGGAGAATGATGAGTTCAAAGGCTCTAAAATGAAATGGCTTTGTAATTTAATCACTGCACCAATAATTAATTAAAAAATACTGAAATGTTTCTGCAATTGATGGCAATTTGCTTGTTTGTCATATTTAATTTCTTATTAAAATTATTATTATAAAAATTAAAATTTCAATTGATGATGCCATCCATAAAATTAATTAATTTGAGGAGAACAGTGGCTACAAAACCCAATCCAGACACAAATTCAAAAATATTGGTAACATTGGGATTCACCAAATCCAACTCAGAAAATCCCATTTTATATAACCTACAGTTATTTCTAATGCATAAAAGAAAATTAAATTTGAATTGAAGATAGGTGAATAGCTATTGTCATATTTAGCTACATTTAGTTTTAGTAATATTAATACAACACTGCTAATACATTATTACCACATTAGTATTATTTATTTTATATAATAAAGAATGTCTCAACTGGATAGACTTTTGGCTAGTAGCAGTTTATTATTTTGAACTAAATAAATAACTAATGCTAATTAGTGGGTAACATATGCAACTTAGATTTAGCAGACTCTTATGAATGCAGCAGCATCTGTATCTGGATTCAGACTGATTAAACTAACTGAGGATCTCAAATTTAATTCCTTAATTCATCATTCATTCGCTTGTTATTGGTATATATAGTATATATGTATTACATTATAAATTCAATCATGAATTTCTGACTAGGCCAGTAGTATAAATTATGAGAATGAATATTATGTAATTTTAAATGAATATTGAATAATTTTAAAATAGTAATAATAAATTAATTAAAGTTAAGACAAGTATTACCAAATTGATATTGACATTTATATAATATTAATAACATATCATAATATATAAATATACAATATTATAATATTATTGTTATATTACCAAATTATTACCAAATTGATATTGACATTTATATAATATTAATAATATATCATAATATATAAATATATAATATTATTGTTATATTATAATATTATTCCATCTACTACTCAGTAATTTTATTATTTTATTTTTTAATATAAACCTTTTACTTACCACTTCCTGACTTTGTCAATAGCACTGATAACCCGTTTGATGTCTTCCTTGGCCCGACTGCGGGTCTCTGCACGAACTGCCCTCGACATCTTTAAATTAAATAAAAATAATTTAAATTATAAAATAAACAAACTAGGAAGCTTCTCCCTTATTTATATTCAGTTATTTATAGTTATATATAATTTCAGGTTACAGAAATTGGGCTGAGAGGAGGTAAGTTATGGAATTCTATGGGTTTCTATAAAAGATGTTTGGTTAACTATAAAAATTTTAAAATATTTTTGAAAGACAAATTTTTCTTTACAAAATATCATTTTAATTTTCATTTTATTTGTCAATATTTTGAAAAACTTTATTTCAATAGTTTAATATTATATTACTGTCTGTTTGAGTAACTATTAATATACGATCATTTAGGTTTTACACGATGTAATGTTGAATAAAGAGGTCTATAAAATTATAATTTTTGTTATCATCATTATTTGTCGCTGATTTTGTTATCATAAACTGTTTGTTTGGTCAAAATTCTAATTCTGTTCCAAACTTGATTAGCTCATTAATGTTATATGTTGCAGAGTTTTAGTTAAGGTGGTCTGCACATACATTAGTATCTTGATCTCCTGTGCTTTTGCCAAATAAATACTGGAAAAAATAATTATAGTGGTCTAACTCTAGAAATGAATAGGAGGAAAGTAGTTTAGGTCCTAGGAGTGAGAAAGTTCAGTGTTACAGACTTTGCAATCAAAGACAGGGATAAAGCATGACGGAAACAAATAAGTTATTTTAATTATTTATATTATTGTGTTGTATTTATGTCGAATTGTATATTTCAAAAAATTAATTTAATTTAATATTAATTTTAAAACTTTAAAATTAATTTTGATGACAAATGCAAGAACGCGTTTTAACTTTCAACTTTCAGCAACCGTTTTATAAAATAATTTAAAGTTGATTGTGATTTTGTTTTATGAGAATAAAACTTAAATTTAAATGAAACCAAATATAACGACTTTAACGAAATATTTATTCGCCTACGCCGATAATATGTTGAGCACAGTGTAAAAACAACAATGAACGATGAACAAAATTATAAGCATAATTCTTTGCATGAATTAAAAAAATTATTTTAATGCTTTCAATCAGATCAATCAATCACTTAATATGTTTTGATTCATTTTCAAGTCTAGAAGCGATACAACAATATAAACAAGAACTACAAATGATAAACCAAATTTAAACAAAAATACGCAAAATCCTAATAGAAAGTAAAAGTTTAATAATAGCATGGATGATACCAAGTCATACAGGCATTGAAGGAAGTGTGCAGGCTGACAGAGCATCTACATCGGCCCAATCATGGTCTCCTAAATAATATCATATTGGTCGAGAAACCAAATGTGATTTTGTGTGTGCTCGACCCAAACTGAGGCCATGCTTGTTTGATAAATAAATGCTACTCGCTATATAAGTTGCTGTTGTTTACTTTTAAACGTTTTGATTTTGTTTATCATCGCTTGGGTTGTGTTGATTTTGCTTTTTATTTCGCTGATTTATTTAAAAATATTAAAATTATTTTATTTTAAATAATTAAATTCAAAATGGTTAATAAATGTTGTGTTTGTGGCTGTAAATCTAGGTATACGTCAGAAAATCGTTTGGAGTCTGAGATTACCATTACGGTAAAACAGAAAATCACGTTTCATAAATTTCCAATTGATAACGAAGAATTAGCAAGAAAGTGGTTGAAAAATATCGCGAGAAAAGATTTTCATCTTTCGCAACGTGCCAGGGTTTGTTCGAAGCATTTTACTCCAGATGATTTCATCACATCATCCAGGACAGCATAATCGCTCGCCAACGCCGAAACAACAAGGATACGTTTTTGATAAGACTTAAACCCGATTCGGTTCCAACTATTTTTTCTAATCATTCAAAACATATGTTGTGTGAAAAAATTACATCAAGATCAAATAATGTGCTTTGAAGCAGTAGGAATAATAAAGAAATGGATAGACTCGGAGAGCTGGAAAAAAATTTTATGGAAAAAGATTCAATCGTAGGTCTGAATCTTGAAGATATTAAAATGAAATTAGAGAAAGAAATAACTTTTTCTACTGAATTTATAATTAAATTCATAGACAACAACATGGTATTACTAATAGTAAAGGTTGATGAAGATCATCATTTATCTATTAGGTGTTCAATATTAGTGACACTTGAGTTGTATTTGTTTGTAGTAGTGTGGAATTTTATTATTTAAAAATAGTGATTTTGATTTTAATGATATCAAACTGGCTTTTTCTTCATCAAAAAATTCAGACTATTCAAAAATGGCAGATGATATTGTTAACCAATTCAAATATCTTTGCTGGATATATTGCTAGATCTATTTTTCATAAAAATAAATGTGCACAATGTCTGGAAAATTTGGCAATAAATTCATATTTTGAAATCGAATTGGATGATGATTCCAGAACAACATATTTCGATCTAATAAATCGTGGGGGACTAAAAAGACCATCATCATTTAATTTCTATTTTTCTTTGATATGTTGGAAAGCATTTGAAGAATTAAAAAACAATTATATTTTACTACCCAAATTTCTCTCTGTTTCAAACCAGCAACAATTATTTTAGTGATATTGTAAATAGATTTCCAGAATTTTGCACCACAGGGCATGATCTCAAACAATTAATTTCAAATGTATTTTTTAACATTGTTGCAAATAATTTAATTAAATCAATTACAGAAAATGCAAATGAAAAAAAGACTATTAATTATAAAAAAAACTTTGTAAATTACAGAACATTTGAATTATTTTCATAATTATATTTTTTTGCAATAAATAATATTTTTATTTTTTTAATAAATGTTTAAAATATTTATCGTTTTAACATTTTAATCTTTAATCGTTTGTTCAAAGTATTAAAATGTTTAAGTGTTGCAGAATTAAAGACGTTTCGTCGTTTACTTTATGTGTGTAGTATAGAATGCATGGCCTTAGTTTGGGCATGTGTAAATTTCAGTTTCTCGTCTAGTATCTATTATTTAGGAGTCTATGCTTCAACTGAAAACTATTATTTTGTACTACTACTACTACAACTACTACAACAACAACAACAACTACTACTACTATTATCCCACTACTACTAATACTACGACGAAATATTTTGTAATGTGGCCTAAACTAGCTGGGAACCTTTTTTGCTCATTTCCCATTTGAAACGATGTTTTTGTGACTTATGTAACCATAGTAATTAAACCATATATGTTAGCTACATTCTCAAACAGTTGCAACAAAATAGTTACTTTTCATAACTGCCTCAGCTTCCCTCTAAATCTGCCACTGGCAACTACTACTATTACTACTACAACAGTTGATGTGGTTTCTGTAGCTACTACAAATTCACATATGGCATTTTATTGTTAATACAATTGGGTAGTGACGATCACTACCATAAAGATCTCCTTCAACATATCATAATGATGATATCATGTAACGATGGAGATGAAATTGCTATGTCAGTTATTGATTCTATTTTTTGGATGTTGAGTATATAATATATGATAATATATAATACATACAATATAAAAGTCCGATTTCTATTTCAGGTAATTACGTCAAAGTTACTAAAGAACGGTTTGAATTGTAAACAAAAACAATACATTCTATGAATATATTAATTTAAAATACATTTGTAGGCATATATATAAACGATAAAATAAAAATATAGGATATATGCCATAATTAACATCTTAGCTTACACTTAATATTATACTTGCGATTTATATAGAATATAGGTCACAATTAATATATTTGCATTTTAAATATCTTTGACGGTTGTTAAGAAATTATTCACTGGGTCGTTTGCACTATATATATATATATATATATATATATATATATATATATATATATATATATATATATATATATATATATAGGGCTTAGAGTGCTTAGACTATCATAAATACAATTATTTATAAAGATCACTGCGTTTTCGGCCATTATTCAATTTGTAGTTGAGTTTCTCAATTTTTCTAACGAAACTTTTATCATCTTGATGAAGTTTATTAAAATTAAATAAAAAACTTTTAATATTTGACATTTTTGACAAAACATTATTAATAAAGTTATTACTACAGAAAAGCTCAGTTGATGCCGAAAGTTGAATAATGCCGAAAATGCAGTGATCTTTATAAATAATTGTTATATATATAGTACCATTCGACTGAAACTGCTTTTTTGCAAGTTTTCTCAGAAATGTACGGGGCAATTGAACAAAATGTGGCAATGCTAGTCTTTCTTGATATGTCATCCGCATTTGATTGCGTAGATCACAAAGTACTTTTGACAAGACTACGTTGCAGTTTTGGAATCTCTGGTGCTGTTCTGAGGTGGTTTGAGTCGTATCTGGAAAGGTAGATCACAACAGGTATCATTCGGTGGTAAATTGTCTGAGGTTAATGTTATGCTGTCTTGTGTGCCACAAGGTTCGGTTCTAGGTCCTATTCTATTCCTGATCTATACATTTGAAGTACTAAAGATAATAGAATCATTTGGTTTTTCAGGTCATGCTTTTGCGGACGACTTGCAAATTATTTTTATGAGCAGGCCAGATTCTTTTAAATCAGAATTGGACAAATTAGTTAAATGTTTGTCAATGGGGTCAATAAGTGGATGCAAAACAATGGTCTGAAACTAAACCAAAACAAGACTGTTTTTTTACCAATTGGAAAATGGCAGCAACTTTCAAGAATAGATATAAATTCAATAACTGTTAATGATGAGGTCATCCCATTTTGTCAGACAGCAGCTAATCTGGGCTTCATGATTGATTCAAGTTTGTCAATGAAACAACACATTAAGAAGCTCTCAGTCGAATGCATGTTTCAAATCAGGAAAATCAATCAAATTCGACGATCCCTAGATTCATCCACGTTGCAGACGTTGGTTCATGCATTTGTGCACTCACGCGTCGACTATTGCAACAGTCTGTTTTATGACTTACCTGATCGATCCATGACTGTACTTCAATCAATACAGAATCGAGCCGCAAAAGTTGTTGTTGGAGCTCTAAAATACGATCATGTGTCTTCAATATTGAAGGAACTTCATTGGCTAACCGTCGACAAAAGAGTGTTGTTCAAAATTTCAACACTTGTCTACAAGTCTATCAACGGTCTAGCTCCATTTTCTTTGTCTGACAGGTTCAAAAAGAGATCTTCAAAAGCATCTGGAGCACACTTGAGATCCGATGTTTCAAACCTGCTGTTAATCCCAACAACGAGTCTTCGTATGGGCTCTCGTAACAACGCTGTTTCTGGACCAACTGTTTGGAACAACCTGCCTGCTGCTCTCAGAAATCCGGACCTAAACCTTCGTGATTTCAAGAAGAAACTGAAAGCTCATTTATTTTCATTGTAATGCATTATTGATTAATTCTTTCTGTTTAGTCGACATGTTCTAAATATTATTTCGTATTTTCGTTATATTGAATCGATTACTTTTCTGTTTATGACCAAATTTTAATCTTATTTCTGTGCGATGTTAAGTTCAGTTTTTGTAAGATAGCGCTTTTGAGATTCTTTTAATTAGCGCTTCATAAATGTTTCAATAATAATAATAAATAATAATAATAATACATGCAAACAAAGAATTTGATTATGTTGACTGCATGCGACCAAGGTCATGGTGGAATAATTTTTTTACTTCAGAAAAAGTTTTAGAGTTAAAAAATTGAAATGCCGGTTTTCAATTCCTTTGAGGCAATTGTTCTTAAAATATTCTGCGGTAAAACGTAATATTTTATTAAGTATTCAGAGACTAGGTTCAGCTTCAATCACGCCTGCTTTTTTCAATGAAATCGAAACCATGTTGGAGCAGGTATCGTTGGGTGCTGATTTTGTGACACTGACTGAAGATTTGAACGTACACGTTGAAAGAACGGATGATGATCATGCTGCCAACTTTCGAGAAATCTCTGAACTATTCAATATGCGTAATAGAGTTGACAAACCTATCAATCAATCAATCAATCAATCAATCAATCAATCAATCAATCAATCAATCAATCAATCAATCAATCAATCAATCAATCAATCAATCAATCAATCAATCAATCAATCAATCAATCAATCAATCAATCAATCAATCAATCAATCAATCAATCAATCAATCAATCAATCAATCAATCAATCAATCAATCAATCAATCAATCAATCAATCAATCAATCAAACAATCAACCAATCAATCATTCAATCAATCATTCAATCAATTATAAAGCGCTATTTCCTCGATGTTCAACAGGGCTCCTCAATGAATTTTGCAAACAGATGGGTCTTGAGATCCGCTCTGAACTTCGTAAGTGATGGAAAAGTAGTCAGAGAAGTAGGTAGAGAGTTTCAGAGAAAAGGACCAGAAAAAGCGAATACAGATTTAGGAAAAGATTGTTTAACAATGAACCATAATTTGATATGTTTACAACTAAAGGTAGGCATAGGGATAGTAAAATGAGAATTTTATCTAACAATAAAGCTTATAAATAATTCTTGTCGTGTAAATGCAAAAACAAAGTCAATCAATCAATCAATCAATCAATCAATCAATCAATCAATCAATCAATCAATCAATCAATCAATCAATCAGCTTATAAAGCGCTTTTTCCGCGATGTTCAACAGCGCTCCTCAATGAATTTTAAAAACAGATGGGTCTTGAGATTTCTTGCGAGGTCTTCGCAAGTGATGGAGAAGTAGTCAGAGAAGTAGGTAGAGGGTTCCAGAGAAAAAGACCAGAAAAAGCAAAAGCAGATTTGGCAAAAGAGTGTTTAACACGAGTTAAAAAAAAGCGAGAAGAAGAAGACGATCGTAAACCGGGGCGTTTAGGTTCAATTAATATTCATACTCATACTCATGTTCATGGTGGTACCTTGGATTTGGTGGCTTCATCGATGGAACTTCCGACATTTGCTTGTTCGGTGGGTCCTTGTGGTTTGTTTTCTGATCAGGGTTTGGTTCAAGTTAAATTTCCTTTTATTTTCAAGTTGCCGGTGATTAAAAAAAAAACTGGTTCGTTCATGGAATCGTGTAGATGATAATCACTTCGCCACTTTGATACAAAACTCGCCAATCTGCGGACCGTTTGATTAGTCTGATCCAGAGTTTTTGATCAAGTTGTTCAAAAAAGAAATCAAAGCTATAATAGACATTGCTGCTCCACAGCACTTGGTAGCATCCCAAAATATGCCAGCTTCACCGTGGTTTGATGATAAATGTAGGTTTTCTAAGAAATCATGCAAAAGAGCTGAAAAAAGGTACCGTCGTGATCCAAACGCCATTAACAAAAAAAGTTTGTTGAGTCTGCCAGAAAAAAGAATGTTTTGCTTTCCTCGAAAAAGAAAAACTACCGTAGATCGATTCTAATCGATCTAGCCCCAGGATGCTTTGGAGGACAATCAATAAAGTTTTATGCACAACCAATTCATCAAATTCACCTGTTATGTCGTTGATTTAAACCCAGATGACTTTGCACAGTTTTTAAAAAATAAAGTAGATACAATTCTTGAAACAACGAAACATTCCAAAGAATCAATAATTCAACCGGCGCATCTCGATAATGAAATGTTTTCATCTTTCCGACAATGTTCTTGTGATGAGATTTGCAAAATTGTTCTTGATTCACTAATGAAGTCTTGTTTGTTTGACTGTCTACCAACAAAACTGTTTCAAAAGTACGTTTCTGTTTCTTTCGATCTGTTTCTTCCGTTTCTGATATTTTTCATCAACTTATATCTAGCATCTGGTTATTTTCCGAGGTCGTTAAAATTTGCAATGGTCACTCCGTTATTGATGAAACAGACTCTAGACAAAAATACATTAGCAGATTATAGACCGGTATCTAATCTGCCATTTTTATCAAAAGTTATTAAGCGAATCGTTCAAAAACAGCTTCTGCATTATTTCAATCAACACAAACTTTCTGCCAAAATATCGATCGGGTTTCAAAAGACTTCATTCAACTGAGTTTTCATTGATTGATGTTGCATCAGAGTTGTTTGAAACTATGGATGTTCAAAACATCTCAGTTCTTGCTCTACTCGACGTGACTGCAGCATTTGATTGCGTTAATCATGCGATTTTACTAAAGAAACTTGAAAATTCTTTTGGAGTCTCAGGACCTCCAATGAAATGGTTAGAATCATATTTTTTAGGGCGTAAACAACAAGTTTTATTCAACAATAAAACATCAAATATCTATGAACTCAACCATGGTGTACCTCAGGGTTCTGTTTTGAGACCACTTCTGCTTCTACTGTACACTTCAGATGGGTTAGATTTGATAGAGTCATTTAATTTAAAGTATCACGCATTTGCTGATGACATTCAGATTGTGGCAAGTGGATCGGCTGCTTTGTTTTAAGAAACCGTTAACAAACTTGTTCGATGTCTGTTGGCCGTGGAGTCGTAGATGATTGATCATCGACTGAAATTGAATCACGTCAAAACTCAGGTAGGAACGTGGCAACAAATTGCTAGATTGCAAATTGACTCTGTCAGAATCAACAACTCTGATATCTCATTCTGCATTAGGAGTTATTTTTGATAAAAACATGTCAATGAATGATCATATTAAAATTCTGATGAGTGACTGTCACAATCAGCTTCGAATGTTGAGAACAATAGGACGTTCATTAAATGAAACAACTTTAAAAAGCCTAACTCATGCATTCATACATTCAAGACTAGACTATTGCAATAGTCTTTTGTATGAAGTATCAAGAAAATTAATTTCTTAATTGCAGTAAATCCAGAACAGGACTGCTAAGCTTATCGTTGGAAACTTAAAATTCGAAAATATTACGCCAATACTACGTGAGCTCTATTGGCTTTTAATAGATAAGAGAATAATTTATAAATTGGCTGTGATGGTGTTTAAAATTGTTAACGGAGTGGCACCTACATATCTATTAATAGTTAAAAGATTGTCTGTTAAAGTACCGCAATTAGGACGTTTGCGGTTGAGATCCGACTGCACGCATCCACTGAATGTACCTCGAACTCAGTTAGTGACTGGTGGAAAAAATTATGCAGTGGCTGGACCCATGGTCTGGAACAGTCTGCCTCCTAGACTTTGTCTACTTTGTCAACTTATTACGATATGGTTTTTTTATTTTGTAGTTCTAATTGTAGTAAGTGCTTTTGAAAACTTTTTGTTTTAAAAAGCGCTGTATAAATTTTCGTATAATATATAGGAAGAAAATTGCAATGTTTACAATGCGAGTGTACGTCAAATTGCGAGTTGCCTAACGATGTTTATACGTTCTTTCAAAATCATGTAAATTTTAAATGGTTTTGTGATACGTGTCTCAAAGTCAACATTAACGTATCACTGCTCACAGTAACAAAGGAGGTGTTAACTAAAGTTGATAACTTGAGCGTTTTGAATAATTCGATCAGAGCTGAAATGGTGGCCATGAAAGCTGTGATGGATTCAAATGAATCGAAGCTGAACAATTTCGATTGTACAAACACGGTTTTTGAAGAGAAGATGCAAATGCTTAAAAAGGATATGAAATCGAATTTTGCTGGAGTTGTTAAGAGGGGCATTGATGATGTTGGCATTGAAATGAAGAAAACGTTGGTTCAGGTCAATGATGTTAGTACAGAAGTGAAAAAAACGCTGGTTCAGGTCAACGATGTCAGGGAAAAAGAACCCAACCTCATGTTTTTAGACTGCCTGAAAAGGATAATTATAAAAATCAAGTTCTACAGATGTTGCGCCAGTTGACAGAGAATACCATTGGTGATAATGATGTTGTTAAAATAATTAGATTGGGGTAAAAGACTGAGGGATCAATAAGATCAATTTTAATCAGGATGATAAATGTTGGAGTTAAAAATTTTGTAATGAAAAACCTTTTTTAGGTTAAAATTGTTAAATGATGAGTTTGGTCATATTAGTATTGGCCATGATTTGACCAGAGATCAAAAAGATGAATTAAAAAAGCTTATTGCAAAGGCCAAATCACTTCAGGCAGTAACGATGATTTTTTATTCAGGGTGAGAGGCGACCCAGGACGTTGGAAGATTATGAAGTTCGAGGTAGGTGGAAGATAGCTGATAATGAGTCTGTTGGTGCTATTGGTGGTGCGGTTGGTGGAAGTAAAACAGGTTTTGGTGATTTTGATGATTATAGTGGTGTTAAATTAGGTGACGATAGACGTTTAGATCATGGAGTCGAATGAAAGATGATGAGTTCATTGATGTGTTTCTTAAATCTCCAATTTCAAGGCCGTGTACGAGCGACAATGTTGATACAGAATTCCAACTTTTCGTTGATGAGTCAATAAAAATTGCTGATTTAATTGCTCCATTCTGCACTGTTTTGGCTAGACGGGATTGGGTAGCACCATGGTTTGATGATGAATATATTCGAATGAAGCATGTTTGTAGAAGAAAAGACAGAGTGTTTAGGAAAAGTTTGAAAACCACTCCTCGTGAGGAATGAAAATCTGACCTAAAAGAGCAATATTAATATTATCTTTTTGCTAGTAAACGCCAATTGTACTGGATCGGAATTGTTGATGAAAACAAGAGTAATCTAAAAAATCTATGGAGGGTGATTGATAGAATTCTTTGCAGGAGTAGAAATGAAGATGTTGGTGCTGATACTAATGTGTTGTCTGCTAATCAGTTTATGGATTTTTTTGCGGAGAATTTATTGAGGGTGAAGCAGGATACAATTTTGGAATGTCTGGGCCCCATCTGTTCAGAGTTTGTAATCAGAGATACTTATACTTCATTTCAGAGGTTTTTAATGATGATGTTATAATGGTAGTTAAGAAATCAACCGCAAAATCGTGTCAACAAGATTTTATTCCAACTGACATCATTAGGAAACAGGTTAATCTGTTTGCTCCTTTTTTGACAAGTTTGGTTAATCTGTTTTTGGGGACTGGTCAATTTCCTGTGGGGTGTAAACATGCAATTGTGCGTCTTCTTTTGAAGAAGAATAATCTCGATTTTGGTGAAGTCAGCAGCTACAGACCAGTTTCTAATCTTTGTTTTACCTCTAAGCTTATTGAACGGTTGGTTGCTAAACAGATACTGGATCACTTGAAGAGTAACAATTTGTTGCCTGTTCATCAGTCTGGCTTTAGACAGTGCCATTCTACAGAGACGGCGCTGTTGCAGGTTTTTTCAGATCTTTGTTCAGCAACGGATGTACAGAAGATATCACTCCTGGCTTTTCTTGATATGGGTGCGGCGTTCGATTGTGTTGATCACAGGATTCTTTTAGATAGATTGCAATATGGTTTCGGTTTTTCTGATGGAGTGTTAGAATGGATGAAATTCTATTTGGTTGGTAGATCTCAACAGGTATCATTTAGAGGTAAAATGTCTGACGTCAGTGGGGTTGTCTTTGGTGTGCCACAGGGGTCGGTTCTTGGCCCGTTGTTGTTTCTGCTCTATACGTCAGAGGTATCATTAGTGTTGACAAGTCATGCTTTTGCTGACGATATTCAAATAATAGTTAATAGTACAATAGGTTCATTCCCGTTGGAAATGAAAAGATTTGTAGAATGCTTGTTAGCTGTTGATTTATGGATGTCGCAAAATGGCTTGAAATTAAACCGAAATCAAACTAAACTTTTGACGGTGGGAACATGGCAGCAGTTGTCAAAATTGAAGATAAACTCGATCAAAGTTGATGAAGAGACAGTTTTACTTTGTAAAAATGCGACTAATCTGGGTGTAATTTTTGATTCAAATCTAACAATAAAGCACCATATTAAGATGGTTTCAAGAGATTGCATGTATCAGATTAGAAGATTGAATCAAATTCGTAGATCACTGAACGTCTCTACGCTTCAGACGCTGGTTCATGCATTTGTTCACTCGAGAGTTGATTACTACAACAGTTTGTATTATGGATTGCCAGACAAGTCCATCCGTGTATTGCAGTCTTTGCAAAATCGTGCGGCTAGGGTTGTGGTTGGCGGTCGATGGGATGATCATGCGACATCTATACTTAAAAATTTGCACTGGCTAACTGTTGATAAGAAAATAATTTACAAAATCTGTTGTTATCCAAATTCATTTTTTCACAAATCTTCTTTAGTGCAGGTTTGTTTATATAGTTTCTTTAAACAAAACAAAGTTAATTCTTTGGCAAATAAAGTCACTTAGTTGGTGTCGTTTTCATCATTTTTGTTGCCATATTTTTGTTCTTCATTGTTATTGAAGTTAGTATTAGGACGTTCAGTTGGTAATGATGTAATCATTCTTTGTTGGATGTTTATTTGAACTATTAGAACAGCTTCTGCAATTTTTAGATGTATTGGGTTGGTGTTTTTATAAATTATTTTTGTGTTAATGTCAAGATTTTGGAGGGTTATTGGAGTTGCACGTGTTGGTTATAAATGAGATTTGATGGCTTTTTTGTCTGCATTTTAAGACGTCTTGATAGTAAAGTGGTTGTAACACCAATATACGAATGTTGTTGACGCACACGGTCGTCAATAGGGCATTAAAATTCATATATTACATGATTTCGTTTAATCGTCTTAAGGAGTTCAGTTGTTCTTTAGGACCAATTGTAATGTTTTACAATCATTGTAGTATATTCTGAGTTTTATTTTACAAGTATCATTGATTGGTGTAACGTTTGTTTCTATGATTTGTTTGAGGATGACTTTGTCTATTCTATGTGCCGTTGACATATGATTTCAGTAATATAGGATTATGTCGTTATTGTTGTTTTTGAATATATTGCTATACTTATGTAGTATTTGTTGAATGGTGCTTTCAATAAATGATGTTTGATAACTATTGCTTACTAATAGATTAGTAATTTTTTTCAGTTCCGCATTGCGATTTGCTGTTGGGCATGGTTCACAAAGGATTTTTTTTTGCTTACTTTGAACCGTTCGGGTCAAATTTTGGCCGATTGTTCAGTGCGTTTTTAATATTTATGTATGGTAGGCTGAAACTATACTTTTAAGTCATTCTTTAACATTGGTAGCCGTGAAAGTATACTTTGCACTTTTTCAACTTTGGTGTTCATGAAAGTTTACTGTTGTGCAATTTACTCTTTTTTATTCTTTGTGTAAGATAATATTTTACATAACTTTGCACACACGTGGAATGAGTGCTATTGTACGGCAGTTTGAGCAGTCCGTAAGTATTCTTTTTTTCTGCATTGTGACTCCTGTTGACTTGCACCAGTACTCTGGCCATCTCTTATCTTTTCATATTTAATTGCATATTTCCCACATTTTGTCAACTTCTTTGACTTTTCATCCATTAAAGTTGCTATCTATTTCTTAGCATTTTTTTCAATCCAAATATCTTTGTATGCTTTTGCATTTTTCTTGATTGCCTTATTCAGGCCGTTGTATTCTTGTGAGATCCTATCTTTGATCTTTTTTCTTTTATCCACCAAAGAAAGCGTTTTATTACTTATCATTTGTGACCATTTTTCATAAAATGTTTTGCTCCTTTTGGCCAATCTTTGCATTTTTTTATTCATTTCTATTTTTTCAAATTTTTTCAATTTTTCTTCTAATTTCATTTCTGTATATTTTTCAAAAGCAAGAATTTTTTCAGAGTTGTATTTAATTTTCAAAGCTTCCGTTACTTTCTTCAGTCGTATGTGTTTAGTTTGAAAGTTACATAAAACCAGTTGGTGATCGGAATCAATATTTGCCCCTGGGTAGCTTCTACATCCTTTCACTGATTTCCACTTTTGTTCTATCATTAAAAATCTTTCATGTTTCTGTTCATTCCAACGAGTGACGTCTATTTCTGTTTATTTTTTGGTCTTTCTTAAAACAAAGTGTTAGCGATACAAAGTTTTTTGGCAAAATCTATTAACCTCTCTCATCTATCATTTCTGTTTCCTATTCTATATTTTCCCATGACATCCTCGTAACTTTTTCTGTCTTTTCCTATTTCAGCATTTTATTTTCCTACCTATTTAGAAATTTCATCTATCACTTTTTATAAATCTTCGTAAAATGCTTCCATTTCTTTTTCATTGTGGTCTGTAGTTGACGAGAAGGTTACAATCACTGTGATGTTTTTAACATATACACTTAAACTTGCATACACTCATCTGTCATTTTTTAGACAATAGCCTCTTTCTGATAACATCATTCGTACTCCACTTTCATGGGATTTACCTTCTGACCAAATCATTACATCTCCGTTTATTTTTTCTTGGCCAGTCCATCTTACTGTACACAACCCAATAAAATTATAATTTTCAACACATGCTTCATCATTTCATACCTCCCTGTTTGCCAAAATATTTGCACATTCCGTGTTCCGACTTTAACAATTTCTCCCGACCATTCTGATAATTTCGGACTCAGCAGTTAATTTTTCATTGCAGTTCCTAGGCCGCAAAACTGCAACGCGATCCTTTATATTCTTGACGACAATTGAGCTTGTATGGTTCTTGTTTTAATAAGCTGCCATCGTTTTGTTTTGCAGTTTTTGCTGCAAATCTGTAAGTTTTTTCCAACCCTCTTTCTTTATCCTGGCTTGGGACAGGCACCCGAATCCGCTGGGTAGCAGACTGGGAGGCGGAATTCCCTCTGGGGTCAGTATATTTTAAATGAAAGTATACTTTTATGCAGGCATTAAAGTAAGGACCTCATCGTAGCCTAACTTAATTACGCTAGGTTACGACCTAACCAACACCTACCATGCATAAAAAGATCATTCACTTTTATACGAACGTCATAAAAGTATAATTTTAAGCACATTAAACTACACATTTATGTATGGTAAACAAGAAAGATGAAACTATATTTCTACGAACGATAGACATAAAATTATACCATATATCTTGATTCAACATTTGTGAACTATATTAACATGAATGGTATGCCTAGGCATGGTTAGGGAGTGCCAGTCAAGCACGACAATTTCATATCAGCTCGGACACATAACAAGAATAAATATAACGACCTTCGCTCACTTTTAACAATCGAACAAGGGGATTTGGAGGGTGATTTTTTTATCGTTCGAGTCAAAAGTTACGATCGTAAATTTACTAATTTCGGAATAATGCTTTTATTTAAAATGTTAACATTTTAATTTTTTTTTAATTGTTATTCAATGTGGTAATTAGTTACTTTTATTTGGTATAAATTTATAAAAATAAAATCGACATTACCGAAAATATTTAAAAGTTGAAAAACTGAGGTTCTTTGCATATCTATGCAGAAAGTATTGTATATTAGTAAATAATAGGCCTCCCCTTGAGCTCTAAATGTATGTTAAATATGCAAATGCATGAAATAAAAATAAAGATGAAACATGAAGAAATGTATAAAATTTTAAAAAATGAATAAATATTTATAATTAAATTATGAAAATGCTAAAATTTGATGAGTTTGATGTATAGTAGCGCAGGGTAATGAAAGAGACCAGACTCTGAAAATTTGCGCGGTGCTTTCGAGGGCTTGTATATGTATTCTAAGTTTACAGGCACTTTTATACACAAGTTCAAAAAATTAAATTCAAAAATTTTAATTCACAGAATTCAGATGGCAATTTGTAATCGACATTTTAAAGCGTGTTTTCATTTATTATCTAAGTTCACTTTTAAGTTTGTTTATATTCCAAATAGTTATCACACAAGTGTTGACTGTATTGCGTGGTAAGCCGGAAAGTATGTCTGTGCCAAATATTTATTTATTGCCGAAAAAATCTGTAAAAACACGTAAATTTTCGTAAAAATGTTTTTTATAAAAAGCTTATAATTAACGTGAAAATTTTTACAGATCCGACGATTTTTCAATACAAAATTGGTGTAAATGTAAAAGCGTTAGTTAGCTATCCACCGAAACTCAAACTTTTGTCTCTTAAATATCCATTATCGTTGTCATCCTTTTTGTCGTCGTCATTATCTTCGTCGAAATTGTTATTTGTGTGTGTGTGTGAGTGAGTGGATAAGTGAGTGAATGTATGCATGCGTATATGTGCGATTGAATATTAGAATATGATACGAATACACATACACACACATAAAGAGAGAAAAATGTGCTGGTAAAAGACAATAATTATGTTAATTATAATAATTATATTTACTGCAACAAATGCTGAAGATGATAGTAAAATCAAAAAATGTCCTATATACTTGAGAACTGGCTCAAAATAGACAAGAATGAAAAAGAGGGTTACATGTAGTTTGTAGTGAATTTGTCATTACAACCGGTTGTATTTTTAAAAGAACAAAAGAAGAAGTTTTGTTATTGTAAATTCTGAGTTTTAATTTGTCATTACAAACAGTGGTCATGACAAATTACAACTCAAAATTTGCTATGCCAATTCTGAGTAAATTCTGAGTTGTAATTACAACTCAAAATTTACTATGCCAACAACAGAAATTTTTCTTTTGTTCTTAAAAAAACTGTATTAAGAAATAAGAGTCAGTAATAAAAAGTAGTCACCTGATATGTTTCTTTAAACGTCCAATCGGTGAGTGCGGGCACAGAAATTCAGAATATATCAGACACACTACTACTACATTGACACGAAGATTAACTATTCATACATTAAGAGATGCTGCTATAAAAAATCATTTTATTGATAATCTCGGAACATCAATTACAGAGAGATACTCAACAATAACACAAATACTACCGACAAAGAGAAATAATAGATCAACGCAAATACTACTAATAAAGAGAAATAATAGATCAAAACTGTTCAAAACTGTTGTTTCCTCACCTTTGCTAATAAATTTTTTAGTTTCTAGACCAAGAAGTTGATGCAGCTTGATTGTAGTCGTGTCAGGTAAACGGTAATTAACTTTTGCCAAAATTGCATTCTTTATTGGGCGTTGTAATTTCATCCTATTTGGGTTTTTTATACACATTGTTTTTATATGAGCCTTTGTAACCGGTGTTAATAAAAGAGATTGCATTGAACAGCTAAAAAACGTTGTAAAATTTTTAAACGTTATAAAAGTAACTTGCCAATTTTGTCAAAGAATTGAGTCCACCAATATGGAAGCATAAATCTTCCACAACTAGTGCGCTAAAAAGATTCTGAACTTCTTTTTGTAATTTCAGAATGGAATCTATCATGCAGGATGTAGAGTTACATCGAGTTGGACATGAAGACTTCAAAGATGTTGGACACGAATTGGCACTACCATTACGAGAACAATTTTTGGCGGATAATTATTCTTATATAATTCAGCGGCGGATGGCTAGCCAAAAACTTTTTGGCAAATATTCGATGTTACTAAAAATTTCGGTTGACGGCTAAGGACTCTGCGCACACAACGATTAAGACATAAAAACATAATGATGATAATAAAAATGATGACGATTAAGGAGAAGATGACAATGATTAATACACCAAAATCAGGCGCTATAGCAATATTGTACCGCCTTGTTATGGAGTTTTAGTGAAAAGCTTGCTCACGCTTTTCAATAGCATTTTAAATTTTGCATTGAAGGATCGTCGGATTACTTTGGGTCTGTCTATTATTATAAATGTGGCAATTCATTAGTGTGTGGTAATCAAGAAAGTGAAATTTTGCTGAGTTTTTTTTAATATGACCATGTTTATTATATATGTATATACGTTATTTTACATTCAGTTATTAAAACTATTATTCCTAACTTCACCTCGAATCTCATGTTTATTATATTTTGAAGGAATGTATAATTTTGTTTTAATTCTTTCTTAATTCGCACATTAAATTAGTTATTTTTCAGTTACACGCCTATACTTTTCCTACTTGTATAAGTTTACAGTTTTAAAATGATGTAGCACAAAATTTTTAAAAATCTAAAAAATATATCTCATTCAAAAAATATAACAAAGTTGAAGTGGGAGTCTGTTTTAAAACCAAATTTTTTCCAGCTCTAGACATAAATATAGTAATAGTTTACCCATGTGCGGTTCGAAAAGATTATGACTCAAAAAAACATGATTGTTTATTAACATAAAGTCATAATGAACAAAATGTGGCTCATATAATATAGCCAAAATAATTGAATGCTTGCAGTTTAATTATCATTTGAACATACCTATTTTGGTTGTAAATATTTATAAAAATATAAAATGTTTCTTTCGAAATTTTTTGTCAAGAAATTCTTGAACAAATTACAGTATACAAATAGTTTTGCCAGATTAAAAATGATTGTTCATCCTATTCCTGCATTGTCTGATAATTACATGTATTTACTGATTGACTCTAAATCAAATGTATGTGCTGCTGTCGATCCTGTAGAACCTCAGAAAATTTTAAATGTGGTCAATAAATCCAACTTGAAACTGATTGCAGTTCTAACCACACATCATCATTGGGATCACGCAGGTCAACGCATTTCTTTTTTTTTTAATATAATTTTCAAAGGTCATTTTTAATTTTTCATTGCAGTTATTGTATGAATGCATGATTTAAGGGAGTTTAATCAGAGGTGAGCGACTGTAGCCAATCAGCCCATTTATGACATTTATGACCTTAAGCATCAAAAGGGAAATTTTGAATGTTACTCTTTTATCGACCTTCAACCAATGCAGTTCTCGAAATATTAGAGTCACGTGGTCATATTTTGCAGCTCCCACAACAAGCTTGGAAACACAATTCTGAATGAGCTGAGGCATAGATATCATTTTGTCATTTTAACTGTATCTTTTTGAAGCGATCTTTCAACTATCCTTAACATGCGCAACCGATTCAAGCAAATATTTGTAATGAATTTCACGTGATGATGCATTGCTAGCTGTGGGTCAAAGATGCAACCCAAATTGACAGCCTTGGAAGAAAATTAAATATCCTTATCATTAATAATAGCTGAATCGGTTTTAATTCATGGAAGCTGTTGCCATGTCCAAATTGCATTTTATATTGATTCTACTTTAAACGGTTCTAGACATCCAAGCATCTATTTTCGTCAAACATTTAATGAATTTTTTTTATTAATCTTTAAAAAATCATGATCTAACAGACGCTGAAACTATTACAGCATGCAAGGTGATAGTAAAAATGGTAACGAAAAAAAATAAATGAATGAATAAATAAAAAACGGAGAAAAAAAAGTTTAAACATGAAAAGTAATAAAAATAAAATAAAGTAATGGTATAAAAAGGCAAATAAATATAGTAATTTATTAATGGACTAGATAATGAGTTAGTGATCGATAAGTAAAAAGAAAACTAGATTGAGTAAATGATAAAGTTTTATTGAGTGCTAATATACTTTGTCTTGTGATGAAGGTTTTTTCTGATATGTTAATTCAGTGGGGACTTGATAGTCATGCTTGCGTTTAGTCATGTTTGCGTTGACGAAGGTTGTGTGTAGTAGTTTTGATTGGTGGTAGAAGAGGATGGTTGACGTGGTTGTTGTTATTTTCGACTTTCTTGAACAGTCTTGGATCGAGTGTGTTGAATATTTGAGTTGACAGTAGGATGTGACGCAGGCGAATTAATTTTTTCAACATAACTGGGAATTCACTAGGTGGTTTACTAACAATGATCTTTATATCATCAACATAAGCGGTACTATAGAAAGAAAACAAATGAATCAATTAATTGAAAAACATCTGCCGTGTATGAAACAAATAAAAAGGCCCAAATACAGATCCCTGTTGCACACCGGTAACGATCGGTTACATATCTGACAAATTGTTATTAAACAGCTCTTGTTGCGTTTGATCCAAGTAAGACTGAAACCAAAGTTTAGCTGTTCCCGATATAACAAATTGTTTCTCCAAACGGTCCGGCAAAAACAATCAAATGCTGCACTCATGTCCAAAAGCGCCATGATAGAGACATTTTTCGTATCTGTCACTGAAAATAATGTAGACAAAATATCCAACAAAGCTGTCTCAGTCGAGTGATGTTGTCTGAATCCTTAATGATGCACAGGCAGCAAACAATTTGTTTTAAATGGCTAACCAGTTCATTAGCAACTATTCGTTCTATAATCTTTGACATAAACGGAATATTTGAAATTGGTTTGTAGTTATTTTCATAGCTTGTATCCAACCCATTTTTTTAAAAAGAGGTATCACCAGGGCATGTTTGTACAAAACAAGAAATTTTCCAGTTCTCACACATAGGTTGATGAAACTAGTGATAAACTTTGAAAATAAGTTGAATTGCTTCTTGAAAAAGTGGGCAGGCAAGCAGTCGAGATTGCAGGTTTTAGACCGGGAATTAAAAATTATTTGTTTTATATCATCCCCGGTATAGTCAGCAAAGGCAGAAAATACTTTGTTGTTAAAATCACCACGAACAATTGTTATCATTAAAAGAAATGTGTTAAAAAACGCCGAACATGATGTGATTTTCATCAATAATTGCATTTCTGATAGTCTTAATCCAATATTCTATTAAGTTCAATTCAATGATATGTTTATTTAGCAAAGCTAGGAGACCCGAAGAAATGACTTGTTGGGCCACCAAAAACTGAACAAAAAATTATAAAAAGTTATTTTACAGTTCTCAATGAAGGGAAAAAACAACAACAGAAAAAAGAAAACGTAGTTCTGTACAAATAGAACAAAAGAAAATTCAAGACACATTCAACCGTGAAAATTAAATGATTAGAAACACTGAAATAATAAATAATTAAACAAACGGAAATAAAAATAAATTGTTATGCCCTCATAGTTTGAACAATATATATATAACAAGAAATAAATACATATAAACATATACGTACACAAGCATACACACATCCACATATTCAATAAAGAAACATCACAACACCCGCAATGTATGAGCATTCAGTCAACCAGAACCAAAAACTTAACGAAAACTAGAAAAGTGGTCAGATAATAACAAATCATAAATAAGATTTTTAAATATACCCATAGATGCAGAATTCTTAATATACGCGAGTAATAAATTCAAAAGACGAATAGAAACTTAAAAAAAACCGAATTTGAAAAAAGATTTAAACGTGGTGTGGGTAAATAAAAATCGGGTCTATATCTCAAAACAGTCGAACGATTATTAATTAGTCTACGTATTTGATTATTAAGAGATGGACTATAATTTAATCTATACAATTTATAAATGAATAACAATGTGTACAATGTAGCTGATTTACTTTTAAGATATTGTTTATACAGTAGTACTGACTGACAGGAGCATATTTATTAAGACCAAAAACAACAACAACACACGTTTAGACGACATTTTCCCCGAGATCGGGGGTTGCCGTTTGGCTTCCTATGATGAAACCGAAATACCCCTCGACGTCATTCACATCTGCCACTCGCCTCAGTATCACGCAACCCCGCTTTTACTCTGTCCTTCTCCACCTACTCTCTCCGTTCCAATCGCGGACGACCCCTTCCTATCACTCCTTCAACCTTGAACTCCAACGCTTGCCTAATCCCGACCCTTTCATCCTTTCTCAACACATTTTTTAATCAGTTATTTTTATAACAAAAAATAATAATTTATAATAATTGCAATAATTATTAATTAGAAAAATTTTAAAAGTGAAAATAATTCTTTATTCCATGCAAAGATGAGTCCGATTCCGTTGAAATTACAATACACAAAAATTACTAGTTATCTAGAACAAAAACAATAAATATCGGTATTGAAAATTAAAGGAGTGCAAAAACACCGCTCATATCAATTTATAGAATGTTTGCTGGTCGGATATTTTTTTACTTTCATAACTTTCATAACATCGTTATAGGGAAATTATTTTTGTTCTATAGAAACAGTTTTATATGTTAATTCCGAAGAAACATAAAAAATTCATAGATCTTACTGCTACAGAAGCGCGTTATAAGCGTCTGTGTATTCCAAAGTATCACAGTCAGATGAAAAATATCCGACTCCGGTCTCAAAAAATTTCTAATCCTGGTAAAAAATTTTGACCCTGACTCCGGGTTTTGACTCCCAGAACAAATTTTTAACTTTTGCATCATAATTTCACCATATTATCACTAGTAAATAGAAAATACTTTTAAAAACATTTAAAATCAGTCATTTTAATTGTTTTTCTAAGTAAAATTACTGTATTTTTATGTTTTAAAACATACTGAAAAATTTATCCAGCTTTTGCATCATAATTTCACCATTTCATCACTGCTGAAAATACTTTAAAAAACAATTAAATCTGTCAATGTAATTGTTTTTCTTAGTAAAATTATTATATTTTTATGTTTTTTTACTAACTGAAAAAAGTTATGTGATTTTATCAACATATTTTAGCATATATTTTCTGTATTACCTATTGCTAGACACATTTATTTCCCAAAAAACACCATCTTAAAAAAATTTCAGAAAAACCTTTTATTTTTAATTAATAACATTTTCTGGAGCCGAAGTCAGATGAAAAAATCCAATTTCGACTCCGGCCCCTCAAAAGTATCCGACTCCGGCCAAAATCTCCGACTCCTGACTTCGACACTCTGGTGTAGGTATACTAGTGTCGTTATTAAAAAAAAACTTTTATAACGCATTTTATGAAGTCACTCAAAGGCGCTATTAGACAATTGCAAAAACTGCCACTTGCGCATTTATTTGTTTTGCTTTTATTTTGTTTGCGTTATGTTTGTGTTGTGTTTTTAATAATTTTTCTGTTTTTTTAGCTAAATAATTAAAATTTATTTTGGAATTAATAAAAACAAAAATCAAACAAGAATCCAAAACAAGACTGATCATGAAATACAATTAAATTTTAACGAAAGAAACAAACGTGCAAATAAGCAACAAAATAACAGCTTGAATGACTACAAAAAAAAGGAAAAACAATAAATAAGTATCTAAATAAAAAAACTAATTATGTCATTATGTATAATAATAAATATAAACACAAAACACGCGCGCGCGCACAAACGCATACATTGACTTGAAAGTACAAATATCATTGCCTAATATATACAATAAATTTACATAATTTCCTACAAACCTTTATAAATAGTATATATTATCCTTCAAGTGGCTGGCCAACATTCCGGGGGGCCAACATTTGCTGCTGACGACCATCTTTTCAACAACAAAGGCAATCTTTCGATTAAAACAATGAGATTTACTGACTTATTACACAAAAGCTCCGCCTCCGGCCCACCGTAGATCCGCCACTGTATCCGCTCACCAACAAAATCACCGGTAGATAAATATAAATGTAATAAATTTACTTATCTTAACAAAACGTAAAGTAGAGAAAAAGACATACAGTATAATAAAAACTAATAGATAAATAAATAAAATTGTTTGATCACATATGAAACATCTCTTCACTCAAATTCATCTTAACAAATACAATTCATCGATATGTAATGTACATCATAATAAAAACTGATGAATAAAATTAATTTGACCCATATCATTCAGAAGCATCGCAAACATATTAGAACCCATACCAAATTATTAAAATTCATTCATAAACATCTGCAAATAAATACTATCAGGCACACGCAGTTATTCAAAGTCCTGTACATACGTACAATTCTTCTTCATTTAAGACACACATATGTATATACAATACGGGCAATATTAATTTGACCCATATCATTCAGAAGCATATCATTCAAAAACATATATTATTCAGTCCCGTACACACGTACCTTTCATCTTCATTTAAGACAACTCATTCATTTTCACATACATACAATACATACACCGACGTTCATGCACATACCAAACGCATTTACGTACAATAGTTACTTATTTACTTATGATTCAATAATATTATATAAATATCCATTTATATCCAAATTTATCCTCCTATATTCATCATATATATATATCCAATTATGCTATAGATGTTCGATTCTCAACATCAAACTAAGTAATAAATTAAAATAAAAATTTATATATATATATATATATATATATAAACGTGCACACACACACAAATTCTGTGTAAATGTGTGTGTATTGTGGGTGCGCGTTTGTAATTGGAAAACTTGAAAAAGAAACTTTGTTATCTGATAACTTCGATCGAATTCAACAGTATATATAAATATAAAAAAGATGAAGTGCCGATTTGTAAATAAATTACAAAATGAATAGATGTTCTTCTGCGTCACTCTTCTGCTTTAAACTGATCTCTTTTATTGTTCTGTTCTTTCTCTGTTTTGTTTTATCATTCTGTCCTGTTTTTGTACTTTTTTGTCTCTGTTCTGTTTTTTCGTTGTTCTGTTTTTTTATTGGTCTGTTTCGCCGTTGTTTTATTGTTTTTCATTGCTATTTATCATTGTTCTGTTTTATCATTGTTTTTTTTGTCATCTTCTGTTTTGTCTTGTAGTGTTTTGTCCTGGCACCTTATTTCTATGTTAAACACTTGATATGAGAATTGTCACTACCTGACTACTTTTTCCGCACTTTCTTACACAATCCTAGATCATACGGTCTATATCAACGTCTTCATCGATGTATGTTGTTATTTTCATCAACATTTTTGTTATCATTGTATTATTATTACTAAACTTCTCAGTCGTTACAATAGTTCCTTTTGTTCATTCAGGTGGAAATAATCACTTGGCTGCTCAATTACCAGGGTTGAAAATATATGGAGGAGATGAAAGGATTGATTCATTAAATGCGAAAGTGCATCACAATCAGATAATAAATGTTGGCTCATTAATTGTAAAATGTCTCTTCACACCTTGCCATACAAAAGGACACATGTGTTTTTATGTGCAGGACAACAATTCTAATGAACCAGCAGCTGTTTTTACTGGGGACACCTTATTTGTGAGTGGGTGTGGTCGATTTTTTGAAGGAACAGCGGAACAGGTATGGTTGAAACTTATTGTTTCATTATTTCAATTCAAAATGTTCTACCGAGTAAACCCTTGCGGGAAGGTTTGTACAATAACGATGATCTTACTGATGTAGTTTTTTGATGATCAGAGCAGTGGTGGGTGGTTTCTGGCTATAAATAATTAGTTTGTCTACAAACCATCATTTATGATAGAATAATTAACAAAAAAAATGTTGCAATAAGCAAAAAATGTCGCAAATTTTTTTAACCAAATTTTGGCCATCCTTTCAAATTTTTGGCTTCAGCAATGATGATGATCATCACAATGGTGTGATTTTTTTTTCTTCAGATTCTGCACATTGTTACTTTTCATTAGATGATCATTAGAATAAAGCATTCAAAATATGATCTACTAGATTTAATTGCAAAATATTTTCAAAATAAAACAATTGAAAACACTTTTTAAGTTTTTTTTATTGAACAAAATAATTTTTGAATTTGATCGAATAAAATAGCTTGTTTTGCAAAAAAATAATAAAAATATATAGTTGTTATAATAACAATTTGATATTTTAAAAAACGCGGAATGTGATGCTATGCCACTGCCCGACAGAGTTGTTACACATTTCAAAAACCATTCCACGTTTTTTTTTTAATTCCAAATGGTTTTTATAACTACTACATATTTTCTAATATTTTTTTTACTAAATATATGCTAATGGATCAATCATAATATATACATTTTTCATACAGATTTAATAAAAACATGGATTGAAATTGAATTTTAAACTAAATTGTTACGTGTGCTAGAAGCTGATTAAAATTGGCAAGGGGCGTTTGGCAACTTGCGTTTGAATGTTTAAATGCTTGCCAGGACTTGATAGAATAAAAATCTTTTTAAAAATTACTTTTTAAATATTTTTAATTATTAAAATTTTAAAACACCTCAAACTAAATTTCGCAATAATATTTCAAATTGATGCTAGGGAACGGATAGAAAGTCGATAGCAAGTTAATAAAAAAATTCACAACTTAAACTATGCAAAAAATATTTTAAAAATTGATACAGATGTACGAAGCTTTGACACAGACATTAGGAACTTTGCCCGAGGACACTCTTGTTTATTGTGGCCATGAATACACTTATAACAACCTACTTTTTGCATCTTACATCGAACCGGATAATCAACATTTGTTAAAAAAATTGGAATGGGCCAAAGGTAAACAACGTAAAAATGAATTTACAGTTCCCTCTTCAATTAAAGAAGAATTGTTAACCAACTGCTTCATGAGAGTCCACCATCAATCAATTCTCAATTTTTTTGGAACTCAGAACCCTATACATGCCATGAAAATGTTGAGAGCCAAAAAAGATAATTTCACTCCACCTAGTTGAATTTTGTGGCATGAAAATTTTTTATTTCTGTTTTTCAATGATAAATAGATGACAAAACATTTACATTTGCTAGAACAAGTTACTATTTAATTTAGAGATGCTTCGTTTGGGTTTTAAGCATTTGTGTTGTGTTCTAGTTTGGCTTTTCGCGTATGTTGAAATATATCAAATAACAAATTAATTATTTTCAGATTTTCCATTTGTTATTTTTGTCATGGTTCCGTGCCACATGTAATACATTTTTAAATTTAAAATATAACTCTGGGGGTAAAAGTTATTCGTTTCTGTTGAAAATAATTTCTGGAATTGTTTTTGATTATAATTCAGTATTATTTTCACTGACTTTTTGGTTAAACGCTGATTAGATTAAAATGGGATTTTTGAATCTGAGCTAAAAACGATCATAAATCGATTTAATAGATTAATGAAATTGAAAAATACCAGTAAATGATTGATTGATTAAAATTAAGTAAATAATTGGTATATAAAACACTTATTACATCTTATATAGTGACTGATAATAATCGATTATTATGGTATTATTTATAAATTTAAAAATTCTTATTACTCATGCTTTCGACAACCAAATTGGTAGGTTTTGTTGGCCCCTCTATGGCTGCAACGAAGTTTCTGATAGTTTTTACTCGTTAAATAAAGTTTTGAATTCTTCGGACGTTTGCATATATTTGAACCCCCACGTCCTTATGAATAATTTTGCTCATCACTGACTTTTGCAATTTTTAAAATTTTTCGTGCTCAAATATTTAATGAGACCGGATTAATTACTATTAATACCATACGGGGATTATTCTAAAAATGATGGCGTTTGTATTAACTCTAAAATATAATGACAGTAGATTTGAGCATCAATTTATCAGGTTTTAATCATTATAGTCAAATAATATAATTTATTACATTTAAAAAAATACTAATTCAGGGAATTGACACATGATGTGTCAATTTTCAGCTTTGGGAATATGTTGATTGTTGGTACATTAAAATTTTAGTATTCTGCCTTCGGCTAAATTCATCGTTAAATTCATCGTTCAATACATCTCTGGATTTTACTATAAAAACATGGGTAGATATTATATATATCCATGTATAAAAATTAATTTATAGCGCTTGATATAGAAATATATGCATCATTAGAATTCCTCACAATTTATTGTTTAGAAAAATAACAATTAACACTCGTCTGCCATTCAATCAATCAATTAGCCTGTAAAGCGCTATTTCCGCGATGTTCAACAACGCTCCTTAATGAAGTTTGCTTGCATATGTGTCCTGAGATTCGCTCTGAACTTCGTAAGTGATGGAGAAGTAGTCAGAAAAGTAGGTAGAGAGCTCCAGAGAAAAGGGCCAGAAAAAGCAAAAGCAGATTTAGCAAGAGTGTTTAACACGAGTTAAGAAGTGAGAACAAAAAGACGATCGTAATCCTGGGCGTTTAGATTCAATTAATATATCTGATAAGTACTTAGAAAATAATTTAGATTGAGTCTTATACATAAATGTGCAAATTTAAAAAATTATTCTATATTTTATAGGTAGCCAGTGCAAGAGAACAAGATATGTAGATGTATGAGAAATGAAGGGGCACGAGCAGCTAGACAAGCAGCAGAGTTAAAAGCTTTACTTAAAGGATAGAGTGTAGAATCAGGAAGACCATAGTAGAGCGAGTTACAATAATCAATCCTAGATAAGACTAACGAAGTAACAAGAAGGAGAAGAGTAGGACCGTCAAGAATAGGCAAAAGTTTTTTATTCTACGTAGATGAAAGTAAGAACTTCTAGCAACACTATTAATCTGAGAAGAAAAAGACATACTAGAATCAAAGGTAAAGCCCAGACTACTAAACTTGTGTGAAACATCAAGAGTTTTAGAATCAGGTAAGATAATCGGAGGAATAGTAATAGAGTGTTTAGTTTTATTAAAACAAATTAATTCAAATCTAGAAGGATTAAGCTTAAGACACATAGAGTCAGACCATGCGATAATTGAAGAAAGACATAGAGATAGATTATGAAGAACACTATGAGGTTAGATGGAAGAAAAGAAGTATAAATATAAGAATCATCAGCATATAGTTGACTAATGAAAGAAAGAATATACATTCTAATATCTTTGATTATCCTTTATAAATATTTATGAATGTCCTACCCATTGTCATTTATGATTCTACGTAAAGCTCGCAATGGGAAGAATACGAACCATATCCAACCTGAAATTTCACGGATGCCATTTAACTGTTGTTTTTAAATTATCGTTGAAAAGTTAATCGAGCAGCACCATACATTTCTTTAAACGATATTATTCATTCAATTTAGCTTATGGCATAAGAATTGAAATCAGCAACAATAAAAATATAAATGTTGAATGTTGAGTTTCAAGATATATGAATAATAACAACGAACAGCAACAATAATAATAATGCAGCGACTAATAAAGTCCCAGTTGCACATTCTCAAAAGAAGCGCCCAAATATTGTGAAGTTTATGGTACAGGAATCCTCAAGATAAGGCTGTCTGCAACAGCAATGATGCAATATTATGACGAAAAAGCTTCCAGGTCAACGTTCAGATCAAGTAATTAATTCAATTTTTTATGTAATTCAATGGGCTCAACAGATAAAATGATTAACAGTTTAAAAATACTTATTTTTCAGATGTTTTAAGTTTAAAAACATCAATAGTGAATTGGGTAGAGTGGTGCTTTTGTGGTGGATAAATAAACAGTAATCAGTATTTTTATTGAAACTCAGTAAAACCCAGCTTTTGCACATGAAAACACCTCTTAGAAAATGGACCAAAAATTGGCGTGGTAATTGGAAAAAAGATCGACATCGTTATTTTGATCCCCCGTCTGGTGTCTAGATTCGCTAGTGGGAGGCCTGCCAAAGACATCGTTATATGATTCATATGTATGACACCAGAAAAAAGATACTAAATATGCTGAAATATTATGCAACTAACTCATCAAAATAAATAAATCTTTTGAAAATGAATAAAAATTATTAATAAACTATAAAAATAAAAAAAATTTAATATTTGACGTTCATGAAAACTTAAGAATGACAAATAACTCTAAAGCGCACAGTTAATGTGCCCGGGTGCGTTCGTGGACCAGTGTAGGTATTCTAGATATATGAGATCCGTCCCTAAAGGGCGTAGATATAGAAACTTGGGGTTCTCTAGGTAAAACCCTAATATGATAGATGCGGTTGAGCTTTTTCTGTGAAGAAAAGACTGGATCCACCACTTTATCCGATCGAATTTTTCAGGTATGTCGTCAAACTTACTACAAAATAGAATAAATTTTATGTTACTGTCACGAACGATTACAGTCTCCCAAATATGTTTGACACTATTACGGAGGAGATGAAATGAAAAGATTGATTCAGATTCTAGAGTAGCGGTGCATTTCTACCTAATGTGTTTTTAAACACTAAATAAGACAAACTATTTTCCATAAATATTTAATTTTGCGTTTTGCAATGTGTATCTGTAGAAACTTGAAAAAAACGATGAAACCGGGCGAAGAAAAAGATCGAGCCGGGGAACGTGCATAGGAAGAAACAATGTTTACATCATTGCCTGCAACGCTATTAAAAGAAGGCACTACTATTTTTAGAAGTTGTTTTGAAGCAAAGTAGCCCGGATGTAAATTAATGGTGATTAAATTATTATTTGCATCGTCGCCAGTTTTCATTTTATCATTTTGTTTATATATTTAATGGAGGAGAGTCGTGCGGAGATATTTTAAAAAATATTGTTGGCTTTTTTATAATTTACGTTAGACTGGCATAACATTTATTTATTATTTATCTCAGCTTTCCGTAATAATGTAATGTAAGAGAAGTAAGTGCTGTATTGTATTGTATTCAATTGTGTTGTCTGTTATATTATATTACAACACAGTATCTGGTAGTGTATAATTTATAATAAATTTAGTCACTAAATTTTAGTTAAAAAAAACTAAGTGAATCGATTTTTGGTTTTATCTTAATTTTATTTTATACATCAGAATCAGCCAAAAGAATCAACAGAGATTTCTAAATGAATAAGATAAATAAATATTAAAATAAAACTCAACATTTGTGTTTTAATTTTTACTGCTGTTATGATTCTAATTGCAATTTTACTTTAAATTTTTTTATTCTTAAATTTAAAGTAAATTATAAATATAAATTATATTATTAAATTAATTAAAAAATGCAAAATAAATATCAACTTAATTACTTTTCATAAATTGAATATTTAAAAGTTTGAAAACTCCATTTTGGTTTTTTGTTTGTTCTCAAAACTTGAAACCAAAAACTTACTAGCTTAAAAAACCATCAAAAGTTGTGGAATAATAAATGATTAAATAATTAATTATAAATATTAATGGATACCACAAATTTGAAAAGTGAGATGTCACGCCACAGCACTTTAGAACTGGCAGATGTGCAAAATGTTCAACCAAAAACTGGTCAGCAAATCAATTGGAGTGCTTCACCAAAAAGAACATTAACCACAGAATCTAGCTCTGGATCAGGTTAGGAGTGTTTGTAGTGTTTGTACTATACTATAACTATACTAGTGTACCTGTGTGTGTACTGTAAATGTATGTATAGTTTATGATAGTTATGGAATGTAATTGAAAGAAAATAACAACTTAATAATGAAGTTGAAGCAGGTTTCTTATTTTTTTTTTCTGGGTTTGTGCCACTTTTCAGTAGTGTTTAATAATTTAATTGTTAATTTTATGCAAAGCTTAGGAGAAATTGGGTTACAAATCATAACCTACACTGCACATGAAAATTAAAAATGTTAAATAAAAATTAGATTCATGTATTTTTATATCAATGCATATTTTTATTTAATGGTTAATAAATATTTAACAGTGACTTTTTTCTCTCATAACACTAATAACAAAAAATTGATGAATATTAATTATTCTTTATTTTGTGTGTTATATAAAAAAGTAAAATGTATTTCATTTAAATTAATTTATTTCA